TCTGTACCAACAACACCAAGTCAAATTCCTTGTAAGTGCAAACCTACTTGGCAATAAACTTGATTCTGATTCTTTTGTTTTTTTTACTGTCATATGGGTGTAAATATGTTGCCTCTTGTCTATATGACTTCTGGAACATGTAAAAATGTGCAAACAATGCAAATTTAGCATCTTCGAGACTAAAAAAAGTAAGATGTACTTATAAATGTTAATCAAAAAAACTATAGCAAGCAAGATGTAGTTTCTGTTAAACACTGAATTACAAATATTTGGATGTTTTATTTCTCTTAAAATGTAAATGTTGGGAGTAACTGCTACGTCTGTACCTCTGCAGAGTATTTCCATGGATTCCTGCATGCACCATTCCTTCAGTGAATAGAGTTGAAATATTTCAATAAATCTCTCCAAGTAACCTTAAGTTTTTGTGTGTAACAATCTATGGCTTGAGTTATTATTTTAACTTCATGATGAATGAATGCTGAATGCCTATTTTTTGTTGCTGATGCATATATATAAAGATCCTGTTTTCCCAATGTTGTTGTCATCTGATCAGACAGAAGGATCAATAGAACAGTAATGATTATAAATCTGTGAAAAATATACAATTTGATAAAGTAGAAGTAACATTAGATAGAATAACATGTAAATAAACACGTTGAGTTATACAGTTAAATGTCGTTTTTACTTATTTTTATAACGTGTATTTTCACAATCATATTTCTTTACAATCGTTTTGTTGTGAAAAATCAAATGCTGACGATGAATTTCCTTTTATTCTGAAGGAGCTAGACCGGAAGTGTGCTAGCCTGTTTTGAGCAGCCAGGCGAGCGAGGATGGCAGAGTACTTGGCCTCCATTTTTGGGACAGAGAAAGACAAGTGAGTCTTTGTGCTTTGTTTGGTTAAAAATAACGGGGTTTTCGTTTTCCATGTTTCTTAATTTTAGCTTTGAGTAGTAATGCAAAACTTGCTCCGTTCTGTAAAAAAACATCAACATAGCACTACATTAGCATCGGCTACTAGTGCTAGCATGCTAACACGCTCAGAAAATTAGCTTTGGCTCTGAATCAGGCGATAAGTAAGAACATGTGTTCTAAAATAATTATATATCTTACCAGGAAATATTCTTATAACATTCTTACTGATTTTACATTTAACTAGTACTTGCAGTTGCGGTAATTTCATACATTTCTTTGTTGTATGTAGGAGGAAAATGCATGTGATGGTGGTCGGTAATTTTGAATGCAGTTATCCTAAGGTTTCAATGAAGTCATCTACACAACCCAAAACACACTTACTTCATTAACATCCCTACTTTTTATGAAATGCTTTATAAACCAAAATTATGAGATGAACTTCATCGGCCCTTGGTGGGAAAAAAAAATGTAAATAACTGTCTTTTACAAGGCCTAGATTGCTAAATCTAAACTTTTTTTTTATCCCAAACAGGCAGAGGAATAAAAAACTTCAGCTTTATGTTTTTCAAATCCTGTATTAATAGATTATTTATTTATTTATTTATTTATATATATATATATATATATACTAAAAATTTATATAGTAGTGTGTTCAAGGTTACTTATGCCTCAGTAACATAATGGCTGTAAAGTCCTAATCATTATAAGGTTAAACGTATAATCTTAAATTTAAACATAAAGACTGGGTTGTTCTGGTATTTGATTGCATTTATCCTTAAACAAAGATCCATATAAATATATAAAAATAAAGTTTTACTGCTCAAATTGTGACTTAAATGAACTGTTAATGTAATTACTGTTGTTTAAAACATAAGCATCTATTAAATCATCAGGTTTATCGGCATAAAAATGGCTGTGACAGACTTACTGTCATCCTAATATCATCATGGTTTCACTTGCATTATTTTAATAAGGTCTTTTCAGTATATTTATCCATGAGATGTTAACTCCTACGGTGTCTAAAAAAGTGTCTTTGTTTTAACTTTATTGTTCTCACTTTTTTTTTTTTTGCAGAGTCAATTGCTCTTTTTACTTTAAAATCGGTGCCTGTCGACATGGCGACCGTTGCTCCAGATTACACAACAAGCCAACATTTAGCCAGGTAAATGATCCAACTCATACTCTTATATATACATAATATGAATAAGGAACACTTGTAACATGTAATACATCATTTATATGGTACATACTGCATTAGAGTGATTAATATAGCTTTCTTCCTCATCATTTGCTATTAAGTACAAGGACTAGGTTGATACTAGGAATTTTAGAGAGGTTTGAGCAAGGTTACAACAGAGGATTTTTCATTTCCATTTTTATGGTTCTTAATATTCATGCTGCTTTCTCTTAATTATTTACAATAGCTATACTTTTTTTTTTTTTAGATTGTATTGCAATCTGTACTCACTCAACTGTTTTTAATTTTTTTGCATTAGCTTAGATCTTTTTTTTTTTTTCCAGAGAAAATAAGTAATTTAAAGGTCAGACTTTCAAACCAGCTGAACCAAATTTTTTGTGAAGATGAGGTCTGCAATTAATTGTCAAGTGATAGCAGTATTATTTGTAAATCTGTTAATGTCTTACTTTAAACATGACAATTAGGTTTGGATTTCATTCCAGACAACAGAATTGTATGTGGAAGTACTGTGCAGTAATAGGAGACACTTTCATACAGCTTAAATATCTATAATATAGAAATTCCTTTATCGTATCCTATATTGTTGCCTCTAAAGTAACATTTTTGATAAGTATTCATGTATATATGGGTTCTGCATGTTCTTTGATGCTGTATTTTAGTTATTTTGATTAAAAACTGTTGTGGGGTTCTTGTTTGTTTTACAGACAATTGCCCTGCTCAATATTTACCGGAACCCTCAGAACAGCGCTCAGTCTCTGGATGGGCTGACCTGTAAGTAAAAGTTCTCTGTCAAGGGTCTTACTATAAGAGTTTTAAAGATGTTACATGGCAGGGATGGAAATCCTCATTTATTCATGCTGAAAATAATTATTTTATTGTGTTTAAGTTTATGTCTGTGCATAAAATCAGGGTCTATGTAGTTGGAACACGTTGCTTAAAACATTTATAGTTGACACCAAAATAATTGGACCATAAATGTAATAATTTAGGTTATGCATTCCTTTAGTTTTTAAATCCTTTGTTTTAAAATAAGCCAAGGCTGGCAGAATCCTTTATCATGGAATTTGTTTAATTTCCCCAGGACAGGTTTAGCTTGCAGACACTAAGAGCAGCGTCTAGTTATCCTTATATTTACACACTATATTTTATATTTGAATAACATACTCTTTTTAGAAAAAAATGTCACCCAAACCTTGCAAACTGAGTATATTTGATTTTTCTTAGATGGATAATTTTGCAGCTATGATTTATGAAGTCATATTTTTATTAAAACACATGAACATAGATGTTGTTGTTGCAGCAGAATCATTGATGTGTCAGCTGGTTAAGGACCACATCACAAAAAAGAGAATTCTAAGAATTGTTTCATTCAATAAAAAAGTTTATTTACTTTAAAAACAGTGGAGGTCACTTTGTATCAATTATTTCATTAGAAAATGCTGAGAGGTTTTCTCCCAACATGGTGATGAACATGAATTAAGTTGTCTATTTTTTTTTTATTCTTCTTTACATCCACTAGGTACTGTCAGCGACATGGAGATGCAGGAGCACTACGATGAATTCTTTGAGGTAACCAGTGGTTCACATTCTTAGCAGTGTTTTAAAAAAATTAATTCCTCAGAAAGGAAGGGAAGAGATTTTTCAAGTAGTCAAACAACAGAATTAAATAAAAGACAAAACCCAGGAAATCTGGATATTCTCATTCAGCTGCAGGACATATCTGGGTTTGCTGAGAGGAAGCAGAATTTTTTATTTGCCCCTTGCTTCTCCTTTTAACATAATCAGGAAGTTTCCCTCCTTTTCTGTCCACAGTCTGATTTGTGGTCTGCAGGCTTTAAGACACAGGGAGCCATTTGGACCAGGTTTCTAAACAAAAAACACTGGGAGCTGTAAATACTTAATGATATGTAAAATGAAGATGACACTGAATATATGTTTTTTTTCTTCTTACCTTTAAACTTTGTCTAAACAACTATAGTGTTGCTTATGAAATTCATGTCTTAAAAAAAAAGAAAGTTAACTTTTATTGATGTAAAGAACACATTTGAATAATTAAAAAGAATATAATTAAAAAGCAGCACTGCAGGTTTTGAGATTCAAATGAATTGTGCTGAACTTACATTATCCTTGTACCATATCTGTGAGCCATCATCCTTACATCGCCTTTACACTTTGAAAGTGTGTAGCGGAGCACTGACCTGAATTTAAAAAATAAACTGGGGAAAAAAACACTATGATACTATAATAAAATAAATATATGCAACATATTTGCATAAATGTTTATTAAACCTGGTTAATGGGCTTCATCTGCTGAACCTGTATGTTCAGCGTCTGTAAAGCAGGGCTGTCAGAAGTCACTTTCACATTTATGCAGGGCTGTAAGCTGTCGTCTGTGAGGCTGAGTAGTGTTTCTATTTAATGTGGATGAGATGATACACAGAACTTTTTTTTCCACAACAATTGCACAGTTTACATGAATACATGAACATTCCTCTCCATTGTGAAAATATGTTTTAACATAAAACAAAAATGAAGATTTACATAATCTCATTTTGCCAGGGAAAGTACAAATTTATATAAAAAATATTAAATTGTTTACACACATTTACAGTTTTTGTTGCCTTTTGATTAAGAGAATACATAATCGTGTTGACATATTGCTTGACCTCATTGTTAAAAGCAATAAAATATATTTTGGAATGTGCAAACTTACATTCATGAATGTAAAATGTTGCCAAGAGAATAATAAGATTAATAATGAAAGTCTCATTTGGTCTAGTCTAAGTACTGTTGAGGTCATAAAGTCCAAAAAGGACATCCTTCCAAAATAACTTAAAATCTTTCTCAATTTTTTCTGCAATAAACTTACAAATGTCAGACCAGAGATGTTGGACAAAAGTGCAATGACAAAACCAATGGGTTACTGTTTCAACACTCATAGAACAAAAAGTGCACAACAATACACAGCACTCTAACTGCATATTTCCTCATGTAGGTGTCAGTGATGGCATCCCATTTTTTGAACATTAGTTTATTCGGTCTCTGAAGGTTCTCTGTATCGATCCGTTTGTAACTCTGAACTAATTCAGACCCCCATGTGTCTCTGTCGGCTCTGACAGTCAGCTCTCAAAGCCGAACGATGCTTGCATTGTGGTAATTGCAAAATGCATAAACTCTAGAGAGGAAGTGAGACTGCCTTGGATTGAAATTCTCACTAAAGTTTCGGGTTTTATCTTAAATGACAAAAAAATACACAAACCATCAGTCTTAATTGTCTTTTCCCTCCCATCACAGGAAGTCTTTACAGAGATGGAAGAAAAGTACGGAGAAGTGGAGGAAATGAACGTCTGTGACAACCTTGGGGACCACCTTGTAGGAAATGTTTATGTAAAGGTGAGAGCTGGACTCCAAGCAACTCTATTTTCATTTCTGCACTGCTGTGACGGTTCTTTTGGTTTGTTTATTAACCTCTCCTCTGATCACTCCATAGTTCCGCAATGAGGAGGATGCTGAGAAGGCCGTGATAGACTTGAACAACCGATGGTTCAACGGGCAGCCCATCCACGCAGAGCTCTCTCCAGTCACAGACTTCAGAGAGGCCTGCTGTCGCCAGTATGAGATGGGGTGAGCACCGCCGCCTTATGAACCGGTTAAAATGTCGTTCTAGTTTTCCACTCATGTTGCCTGATCTGAACATAAGATTTTAAAACCGTTCATCCTAAAATACCCAATCATTCTTTAAATGTACCTCCTCATAAAAAAAAAAAAAAAAGATTGGAGGTAGATTTTGTGCTTACAGACTTTAAATGTTGTTTTCAGAGTTTCAATCTTACATGCATGTAGATGCCTCCTTACAGAAGACTTCAGCTCCCCTCACCAATAATATACATTTTTCTTATAAATATGTGGCGGTTTTTACCTCAGTTAAGTTGTGGTTTTGCAAAGAATCTAACTATTACAAAATGTTTTCTACCCTATCCATTGGCATCTAGTTTGAAGTTTGTTAGATCTGCTCTGACAACAAGCAGATAATTGTTTTGGAAATGTGGGACTAAATTACTCTCTAAATGCGGCTGCAGAATGAGACGTTCTGTAAAGAATGCAGCTGAAGAAATAATAATACATATATATGACTATACTAGGAGCCAAGTGTTGACTTACCAGTCTAATAATAAAGTTAGAGAAGTGAATCGGGTTTTACATCCGGCTTCTTCTTTCAGCGTTCGCCAACGAACAAACTCCTTTCCATGATCGACTCTTGTTTTTCCTCACACAGGATCTCTTTCAGATTTTCTCTTTATAGCCGCCTTAGGAGGTTTAAACATTTTCCTTGCCTCAGCCATGACCAGTAGTTGAGCAGACAGAAAAAAAGTAGAGCAAAAACCTTATCCCCATGACGATATAAGAGCCTGTGGCAGTAAAGCAATACGTTCTTCTAGGTCTGATGACCTGGTCGATTGAGGTGCGTCTTCTAGAGGGGAGCCCCGCTCGCAGCATTGATGGTGTTAAATGCTGTATATTGGCCTCAGGATTAATTTGAAAGTAATCATAACGCATAAACTCTTTAGGTAACAAAGTCTGCGGTGTGCTTTTAACTTTACATTTTTGCAAACACCTTGGCCTTGCACATAGAATTCTAGTCAAAAGCATTGTTGGTTTGTGGCTTTAAAAGGTTGAAGGTATAAAACTTGGGGAGCAAAAGTTACTCTCAATTTGGTGCAGACTTTAGGTGGAACAATAGTGCTGGACTTCCAACCTTATTTCGAACACCTGCCAGGTTTGCAGGTAACTATTTTTAAATGGATCTCCTTCCCCGTTTACAGAGAATGCACTCGTGGAGGCTTCTGTAACTTCATGCATCTGAAACCCATCTCACGTGAACTCAGAAGAGAGCTCTATGGACGCCGCAGGAAGGGGTAAAAACATTATTTTAGCATTAATAAAATTTGTTATACCTATGTTCAAAGCGGTTTTGTTTAATCTATTTCTACCTCTTCACACCTGTAGCCGCCACCGGTCTCGGTCCCGATCCAGAGACCGGGATAGAGGTCGAGGAGGAGGCCGCAATCACGAGAGGCGTCGGTCCAGAGACAGAGAGCGTTCAGGAAGATTCTGAATTACGAGTATTGATCATTTACTTCTCCATCCCTGAATCCATCACTGTGTTATTTTTTTGTTTTTTTTTTAGTTTGTGTCCTGCCTCATTTGATTTTAATACAAGGCAGGTTTTTGAAAATTTGTGAAAATAACTTTCACCTCATTAAATCTAAGGTTTCTACTCAAATAGAATGTTTACTGACTCATTTGTCACTAAAAATGTTTCTCTTTTTTTATTCTTCTGATGAAACTGTTTTAAATATTTTTTTTGTCTGGTTTGTCTGAGAAAGTAGTTTTTTTTGTTGTTACGTAAAATTGTGCTTTTGAGTGCCATGCATAGCTTTATATGCTAACTACAATCTGAAGAATACAGCATCTGAAGGTTGTTATATAAATAATAACCTTGAAATAAAGAGAAAGTCCATCAGTTAACAAATGGAGAGTGAAATTTGTGTATTCACTAGCATCACTTCTTCCAGTAATCTACTGAATATGTTAATAAACTGAAGGTTCATCATGATAAAATATCTACAATTCAGTTAAAAAGGAAACTTTTTAGATTTTTTTTACAAAAAGCAGGTTTTTATTTGGCCATATGAGAATCTGCTCAAGGTTTAGAAAAAGTGGTGACATCAGTTTTACTAAGCTTTTAACTGAACCAGATTACACCAATTTAATGCATGTGTAATAGATAGGGGTTTGGCGCCCCCGTGTGTCCAGCATATCCAACTGTTAAGGATAAGGAGAAGGCACAGAATTTTATCACCCTCTATGTCAGGCATCCCCAAAGTTGGTCCTCGAGGGCCGCTGTCCTGCAGGTTTTAGAGGTTTCCCTGCTTTAGCACAGCTGAATTTGATGACTGCAGTTGAGCAAAAGCCTGTTAATGAGCTTTCAATTAAAATGCGTGGCATTAACCATCACCTTAATGTGGTGAATGAGTTATCCCAGAGGTAATTTCTGGCAGCTTAAATGCCAACGGTTTGATCTCCCAAGGTTAGGGGTCACACAAAGCCCGACTACAAAATCCTTTCAATTGCAGTCACCTTGGTACAGTGGCGCATGCCTGTGGTTGGGGTTCATCTTTGTTGGACCCAGCTGCGCCAAGCATGATGGAGCGTTACAAGACCATCCCTCAGTGGACCTGCAGGGGAAACCATGAAGGACAAGGCCAAAGAGGATTGGAAGGCAGTCAGAGGTGGAGGTGACCTGAACCACAGATGCTTACGCTGGCTCTAGGAGTGTGGAACGCCACCCCTCTGGGAAGGGAAGGAGCCTGACCTTGTGTAGGAGGTGGAGCAAAGACTTCAAGAAAGATCCTGGATACAAGCGGCCGAAATTAGTTTTCTCAGCAGGGAGGTTTGGTACTCCGTGATGACATGAGGAGCTTCACAGCTGGTGGAGCGGGAATCCAATCCTTGATGGATGGTGTCCTGCACCTTTTACATTTATTTAGATAACTCAAATGAGCAAGTCTTTTGCAGGACTTTGAAGAAATGGAGTTCAACTAAGCAAGTAATTAAACCATTTGGTGGAGATGTGTTGGACCACAGTGATATGAAAAGGTTGCAGGATAGCAACCCTATAGGGCTTTGTTTTGACATCCCTGCTGTTAGAGGCTCAGAGTAGAGCCACTTCGCCACAGTGAAAGGAGTCAGCTGAGGTAGGAGGACACCTCCCTCAGAGTGTGTGCCAGGAACATCCCATCAAGTGCAGGGCCCTGGATACAGCCCAGGGAGGGACTGTCTCTCAGCTGAACCTGGAATGCCTCGGGCTCCCCCAGAGTAGCTGCCGGAAGTGTCTGGGGTAAGGGAAATCTGGAAGTCTCTGCTGAGACTGCTGCCCCCACAACACAGTCACAGTTAAGCACAACATGATAATTATTAGGATATTGTTCAAGTCCTAGTTGCTTACCAGTCTTCAGCTTGTCTACATTGTTGGTTCTGGTGTCTTTTATCTTCCTCTTGGCAATACTCATTAGCAGGATTATTTAATCCCAGTTCTGGGGGTTCGGTAAACTGTACCTTTTTATTGCTTCATCATACCTGAGTCAAATAATGAGTTCATTGGCAGGACTCTGGAGAAATTGACTGCATGTTGAGAAGGTTATTTAGATATTTGATTCAGGTGTGGAAGGAAACACATCTAAAAGATGGAGCTCTAGGTCTGGACCCGGAGACCTCTGCTCAATAAATTGTCAAAGTAGCTCAGATATGTCCAGTTTAGTGGCCAGGTAGACATGGTAACAAAATTGAACCTGTTTTTGGTACCTGTGGCAGTGTGGTTTAGTACCAAGTCCTACTCAATCCCAACCCACCACATATTGATGCTTTGTGAAGTCCCCTGTGCTTCAGATACTGATGCACCTGGTGACATTCTGATGTAAAGCTGTGTATCGTCAGCATAGTCATAGTTGTTGTTTGCTATAATCTACGCTAAGGGGGGCATGTAGATGTAAGATAGGAGGAACCCCAGAGTGGAGACTTGAGGAACCCTCCGTGAGATTTTTCTATTCTCTGACACATAGAAGTCTCTGTCCTTCTGGTAGGATTTAAACCAGTTCAGTGTGGTACCAGAAAGGCCGACCCAGTTTCACAGATGCTCTGAAAAATCTAGTGATAAATTCAGTTAAAACATACTTTATTAATCCCAAAGGGAAATTAAGTGTTGCAGTAACTCATAGGTTATTGTTAGCCAGGTGTTAATAGCTATAGGCAGGAAATTCTGTTTAAAAAAACTTCTAAAGACGATGCTCACTGTTGTCCATAATGTTCTTCACTTCACGAAGAGTTCTTCTCTGTCAAACATTCTCCAGAGGATCTAGAGGAGTTCCTAGAACAGAACTGGCCACCTTTATCAGCTTGTTGAGCTTTTTTAAGTCATTAGCTCTGATGCCATTACCCCAGCAGATGATGGAGGAAGAGATCACACTGTAATCAACACTCTGTTCCTTCCTTGTAAACGGTGTCTCCAGTGTAGGTTGTTGTGCAGGGGAACACCAAGGTATTTATACTCCTCCATCACCTCCACTTCTTCTTCTTCAATGCTATACTCAACTTGTTTATGTATTTTCTGCTTTCTACAATAATCTCCGTTGTTTTGTTGACATTCATGATCAGGTGACTGTCCAATAATACCAGAACTGTGGTTCTTCCACAGTCTGAATTTAAATGACAGGTATCCTAAACATTTTCATAACCTCTTCTGTGAGATAAAAAGACTCTTGGTGCTGATTTTTCTTTATAGATTCAACAAGCATGCCTCATAAATCCTCTATTACCATTGCAAAGGGTTGAATTATGAAATAAATCTATTTTTTTCCCTACACTCAAAGAGGCTATGTAAATGCATCAAAGAAAAACACAGGTAAGACTTTGATTTGTACAGATACTTAAACTGACTGCAGACGTGGTGTGATAGGCTAATCACTTTATCAGCTGCTATTATTGCTCTCAACAGCCCATCACTCTAACTCTGAGTAAATCTAGACTCTAATGAGCTTAGGCATTATTTTCTGTGATTAACTTTACTGATAATTGGTTTCTGTAGCAGAGCAATTAATTCCAGTATCAATATGAGAATTCTGATTTGATCTAATCCAATGTTACATTTTTATCCAGTCATATGTAAGGGATGGGATATTATGCCTTTCTATTCTTCCATTGAATATCATAATATCCATTGGTAAAATTGTATTTTTCCCATTATCGGCACAAAAAACTAGAAATATATAATTTATATTTGTTTGTATTTAATTTTGTATATTTTCTTACATGCAAGCTAAGCCTGCTGCTGCTGAAATGTGACCAGTTATTTTTTTTTTTAGCTCTGTTATTGGTTATTTAAATAGTTTCCTGTTGTGTAAAACATATATAAAAGGAACATTAATATAAATACAGTACATGTTTGCTATAGCCAACGTGTACTGTATCTATATATTCGAACAGGAATGGTCTAAAGCTCTGTTGTTTCACGTCACAAAGTTCAGTGACATCTGTTCAGCCAGCTGACTGGCAGTGTGCAGTGACTGCTGAAAGAGGAGGGGGGTGGGGTTGCTACTCCTAAGGATCCTCTAGTCACTCTGGCACTTTGCCTCACATCTTTAAAAAGACTGTTAACCATCAGAGGGCAAAATATTCTTTAAAACCTTGGAGTACCTTCATGCCAGTATTTATATATACTGTATATTCATGTCAGTTTTTCTGTTTCTTCCTTTTAAGCTCACTAAATCGACTGAAAGAGGCGATCTTTTTACTCTTTGCATGACTAAATCCAGGTTAATCCCAGCATCCGGTAAAGTCAGTGTCATGTAAAATTGGAAAATGATTTGATCCAAATTTGATTTTTGTTTGCTGGATTAACTTCAGATCTTTTCCATCAACTCTGTAAGAAAAGGACTGCAGCATTTGTGTCATTGTAAATTACTTTGATCTACCTGAGTGCATTGGATACAAAACATTTTCAGAAAAAAAGCAACAATAATATTTATTTCATGATTTTCTTGGGTAAAGTTCACTTTCTTCACCATAAGAAACAAACAAATGTATTACTAAAATACCAGTTTCAGTATTAAAGTCTCTCTGAGTGTATTTTTTCTTCTTATATACAAATTGGTAATCTAATATTCATACAAATAACCTTTTTTTTAACTAAAATGTTAAAGCATAATATTTTTAAAGGGATTTTAGCAGTTAATGGAGCTTTAACAATAAAATGTGTTTTGAGTGAGAAGATATGTTGCGTAAAATGTCAAAGATGTGCAAACCGCAGACATTTTAGCTTTAAAAGATGTATTAAAGACTTGAATACATTAAAAAACACACCTAAAATTACAATTCAGCCCAAACAGCACAACACTGTCAGAGGTTTAATGACCTTGAACTTGACAGTGTTGAAATGTTTGTTGGTAAAGGAAGCTTAAAAAATAGGAACTTTAGATGTTTTATCAAATGTTTTGTAGCTGTGTCTTGAGACAAAATACTTTTAGTGTTTATAAATGATTAAACTATCCATTTGGAATTTAAAATCAAACAAATATAGGATTGGACATTTTTCAAATTTGAGACTGAATGGCAAACTGTTGTTTGATATTTGGGGGAAACAAACCCATGTTTCACCAAAACGACGAGGCATTAACCCAAAAAGACCTTTGCATCAAAACAAGTGTTTACAAAGTTTGCTTTGGGGTGCAGCCTGGGTGGAAATCATGAAGGGGGGAACGGGGTGTCAGGAGCCCCCCGCATCTGAGCAGCAAAGAGATGTTTACCTCAGTTTATCCTGGTAGGAAAATCAATTCTTGATAAATGATGTGAGAAAACACATCAAAAGGCTGTCCATTAATGAAGAGAGTGATGTGTTCGAATACAGAAGACCAGCATCCCCCCCGTCAGAGCATCTCAGTGGTTTGGTCCCCTGCATACAGTCCCCAAACCCCCACACATATTAGGTCTGGGAATGAGCCTCTTTTGTATAGAACAGTCTTTGGAAGAATGTCAGTGGTGCCGAGCCTCCTGTGAGTATCCTCTCTTAAAACTTTGCATGGAAAAAAATACTGAGACTTTATTCTAAGCTCCTGTAACTTGATTAAATCTGATTATTGCTATTAATTAAAACTTTTAAACCAGTAGGAATGAGACATCTAAATCTGGATAAAAGTTATCCTTCTGTCTCTCTAGATTAAATTAATAAGTAAAGTTATTTACCAAATTTAAAATGTAACTTTCCATGGCAAAGTAGTTCAAGTATACAGGTAGTAACTGGAGTTTTAAATTAGTTTAAATCAGGCTTTTAAAGTTTAAAGAATTTTGTCCGTTTCCTGATCTACTTTCAGTGAAGTTGTTTTGAAAACAGTTACAGACTTACTTCATTATAACTGAAGTATTATTCTTGTATATATTAGGTAGAGCTGCAGATAATTATTTTGTTAGAAGTATTGCATTAAACAAATGTCTGTGAAAAATCTTTTATATAACCTTTTGATAATTATTAGCATTTTGTAAAACAAATGCACCACACAAAAATGTTTCCTTGAAGAGTATATAAATTAAAGCTGTTTTTTTTTCACTTGCAGTTTTGATACATTAGGATGACATCAATACAACAAAAGGCCTGGTGCATAAATCAATCCACCAAAATTTATTTCTAAAGCTGTTTTTAATAATACAATCTTTAAAGTGATTTATATTCCAGGAAGGAGATAATTAAATAGAAATAAATAGATTAAATAAGAACATACAAAAAAAAGAGTTTAAGAAATATATTATCTTAGTGAGCACATCCAGATAAGTTAACACCTAACTATTAATATAGTTTAATTGTCTTTCTACATACGTGTTTTAGCTGTAAAAATATACAACAAGGCGTTTGCTTATTTAGTTAGCTTTAAATATAATTTGTACTATTATTATTATTATTTCTTTTTTAATCTATTTTTAACAGCAAAGCTCATTAGGGCTCTTTTATCTTTCTGACAGCTGCATTTATGTGAACTTGGATACAACACAGCATCCACAGCATTAGGAGTTAGAGTTTGATAAATAGAAACTTAGAGGAAATCAGCGAAGTAATTTTTTTTTTTCAGGATATCCAAGAAATTTGTAAAATCCAAAAAAAAATGCAAAAACCTGGAGGCCAACACAGATGTTCATATAATCCTGTAGAGACAGTTTTTTTTTTCCTGTCGGGATATATGGCTTAATGCTAAGGAAAACAAAACAAGAAAAAAAGAAAAGAAAAACAGATCATTAATCATCATTTGCCACTGAATGATGATAATGCTGGAAAATCTTAGACTCTTTGATTTTAGTTAATTTCAGCAACACAAAAACGGAATTTCATCCAGTAAATATCTAAAATAGTCTAATTCAAATTATTTTTATGCATAGCTGGAAAAACTCTCTGAAAAATTATAAGATGCAAAATGTGAAAATTATGCAATTTTTGGAAATTCTGATCAACATATTTGATACTCGTATCAATTAAAGATTTCCAATCACTGTTTTCTGTGGAATTGTTGCTAACTAACCAACTTTAATCTATTGTGTGAGATGGGCAATAGAAAGTGAGTGACAAGTATTTAAAAGAGGAACTAAATTAGTGATGCAAAAAATGACAAAAGCATATCGAACCAAATAATTAGTAATTTATTAGATTAATTAGATATAAATAATTATAATAAATAGTTAGAATCTGAACTATACTATCTAACAAACTTGTGCTGGACTTAATTAACAGATTATCACTAATATGAGTACTAATCTTTAAATACTAGTTAGTGTTTGGGCAAAGAAAGTTATTAATTGCTGTTTTTACATCCTAATCACAACAGTAACAACAGAGGTGACCCAGATTTTCTCTGCTTAAGATGGCTGCAAGTTGGAGAAGCTCTGCTTGATCGATTAGGATATTCTTTTTTATGAGAACTTTATCTTCTCCGTTTGTTGATAAAAGTTTCTTTTTTCTGAGGATTTTTGCTTCTTGTGCTGAATGCAGTAAAACTGAAAGGATTTTTACTTATATTGTTTTTTCCTTTTTGGGCACTTGTTATGAGGTTTAACCACAGCAGACATATCAGGTTGATTTTAGACAAGGCAGACAGCACTGTGAGGATCATGTTTTTTGATGTCTCCAGTTTATTTAACACAATTCAGCCTGACTTACTTTGTGGGAAACTTCTGAAGACTCAGGTGGAGTCACGAACAATCGTACAAAACAAGGGAGATGATTGTAGATTTCACAAGAAACATGAACAAATGGAATCCTGTTAACATCAAGGGAGAAGAAGTGAAGGTGGATGAGGAGGATAAATACCTTGATGTTCACCTGGACAACAAACTAGAACTAGACTACAAGAAGGGACAGAGCAGATAATAACTTTGTAGCAAGATGCTACGTATGTTCTATAAGTCTGTTGTGGAGAGTGTGATCTCTTCCTCCATCATCTGCCAGGGTTACAGCATCAGAGCAAATGACTGAAAAAAGCTCAACAAGCTGATAAAGTTGGCCAACTCTGTTCTCGGAACTCCTCTGGAACATCTGTAGACTATAGAGTTAAGAAAAATGTTAAGAAGATTATGGACAACATTGAGCATCCTCTTCAGAAAACTGAAATCCATCTTCAGTCAGAGGCTTCCATTGATCCAGTGCATGACACACCACTACAGAAGATCCTCCTTGCCCACAACTATCAAAATAAACAACAACCCTACGAAAAAGAAAAAAAAAGAAAAAAAAAGAAAACTCTATAAGTTACTGCAACATTTCATTCCCTTTTGGGATTTATAAAGTATTTCTGGATTGAATTGCTACTTATAACAATCCTAGCATAACGTCCTTAGATGAAGTTCTGGATGAGGAGGTTTATTGATCAGATGGTGACCCAAACTTATTGCAAAAAACCTCCACTTTCTATCAATTGTTGGGCCACTCTTTAAAATTGATTGCTTTATTGAATGTTTTTTTAATTCAGAGGTAAAATGGATTTGACTATTGGAGGGGTTTTATCTGTAGAATCTGTAATTCTACCTATTTAAAGTTTTGCATAGTTTTAACAGATCCAAACAAACATAACTTTTAGGTTTTGGCTAGATTAAACTAAAGTTCTACTGCCTTTATTATCAAATGATTTTGTAAATAAGGTACAATTGATACAATGATTTTCTGCATTTTTTTTTATCTTACCAAAGACTTGAAAAAATTGCAATTCTGCTCATTATCCATAATCATGACCTATTAAATAATGACGGGGGAAATCCTGGGGGAGAAGGGTTAGACCTTTGAACTTCAGCTTTAAAGCACCACAGTTATCATGCACAAAGCTGATTTTAGCTGCAGAACATAAATTTTAGATTGATCTGACATTCAGTAAGGTTTTACTCATCTTATTTCTGGAGACTTATCTTTTTATTGCATTTCTTCAAATGACAATTCCTGTAGGTTTAAATTAAATCTTGATTTTCCTAAGAATTGATGTAACATCTGTCTGTTCCTGCTGCAGGGGAGTCATGCCTTCTGTGTTCGGAAACCAATGCTTAAAAGATGCTCAAGCGACTTGCCCAGGTGGAGGAACCCTGATGCATGCAGAGCAAAAATCCTGCATGGATGGAGATCTCAAAATTTTCCCCAGTGGGAACAAGTTGCCTGGACTCTCAAAAGACGAGCCGCTCAATGATGCAGACAATCCTTTCCAAAAATGTGGAGAAAATGGTGGAATGGACAGAAACGCAAAAGAGACGGCTGATCAGATGAAGTGGATTCGTCCGGATTTACCCAGCAAATGCACCTGGAGGCCAGGGACTCCAATGTCAGAGTCCCCTCATAGCCAGCCGCCACGGTAAGAATCACATGACTCAGAGGGGAGGAATGGAAAAAAAAAACCTAGCTTCTTGATGTAAAATAAAGGTTATTACCTTCTTTTCGACTCTGAAAGGTCTCATAAAGGTCTCACAACCTCAAAGTTTTGGACACATTCTGTATGCTGTGAAGAAGAACTGATGAGAACTGCTCAAACTTCATTGGATTTAACAAAATTAATCTGAGAGCATTACATTTTGGATCAGGACAAAGCATCTCCAATCTGATCACTTCAGCTACAGTCTTAAGTCTTTTGCAGCCTCTGATTGATTTTCTTCCTCAGTTGTCATGTACTTAAACTGATTACCTTCGCTGAAAAAAAGCATCCCCACAGCATGATGCTGCCACCACTGTGTCTTAATCTGGAGATATCTTCAAATATATGTGCAGATAGTTTTCCTTCATACATCATGTTTTAGCTAAAACAATCTCCCTCTGTCTCTGCCTATCGATAAAGGTGGACAGCCATTCCCTGGTAGGTTTAAAGCCATGTTAAGTCTGTTTTTGGATATATGTTTAATAATAATACCATCCTAGGAACAGCACACACTTTTTATTGCAAGTCTACAGTGAAGTGAAATGATACAATCCAACCATAGCACTAGATAACCTCCTCCCCTCATTGTTACTGTGTAAGGTTGATTGCATTTCAATCAGGTTGATTTTGACATTTGTCCTCTGCAGCATCAAACCACCAAGCATCCTCCCCAACATCCTGGGACACATTGGATACACGCCTCTGGTTCGCCTGAATAAAATCCCAAAGGAGTTTGGGTTAAAGTGTGAAATTTGTGAGTAAAGCTTGATGCAACTGCACATACAAAGACACTGATAGGGAGTCAGATCAGCTTTTCACCCTGAAAGTACTTTAATAGAATCTAAAATGACACATTACACAGTTCTATTGGGATAATAGCAAAGATGAACTCACACAGAATCGTATCTCACTGAGAACAACGGAGACATCAGCAATTTCAAGCTTTAGCAAGCTAAAAGTATGCCTGATTTAGAGCAACATTATAGGAAAGATTGGTGCTTTTATTGAAAGAAAAAAAAAACCTACTACAATTCCTTTCACCCTTATGACAGGAAAATGCTTTTGGGGTTTTTTAAAGGTCATGATGGCTTCCTGCTCTGTATCGAGTAGCTCATGGCCTTAAAATGGGCAATGAGTTACCATTGGGGTATTGTTTAAGAAGGCAGCATGCTCACAAGGAGGGAAAGGTGAAAAACAAAGACTCGTTGTCCTTTAGGCCCACAGAAAAAAAATGCAACTCGAAAACTTGGAAACATTCAGGGTGTTTGGTTGAAAAATTTCCTCTGCTGGCTCACATCTTGCAGAGGCTGAGACTTTTATAGTGCAAAACCTCTTTGACATTTTCACCATTTGTCACATCACATCCAAAGCTTTCATTGCATAATGCGAGATTTTTAGGTAAAAAGAAGACAATATAGGTAGAAGAAACTGCATTTTTTTCAGGGGGTGAGTAAATAAAACCTGAAAACTTTAGTCGAAATATTTTCAGTCCCCTTTACTTTGAAACTTAAATAAATTGCAGGGCAACAATTTGCCTGCAGAGTTTACCTGTTATGCAAACAGCCACCTGAGTTTGTTTTTAATCCCAGGTTCCATGAAGGCCTCAGCAGGTTGGAATAGAACAAAAGTCATTTTTAAAACAAGCAAAGAGGTCCATAACAGATCTGGAGCAACTGTAGGAAACTTTAATTAGTTAATCTGATGACAGCACAGCCATTAGTCAGGCTCTTCCCAAATCAGGGGCAAGAAGACATCCTGCATGTGGCAGGAAACAAACTGTATCATCCTGTGGGCACATTTCTTGGGTTTGAAGAAGACTGATAGAACTAAATACAGGTTAAAAACCTGCTGGAAGGTTCAAACGACTCTAAACATGCATGTATGAAAGGCCTACTCCACGTCCGTACTTAAATCTAGTTGAGAATCGGCAACTTGCCGATGCTACCTGATGTTCACATACCTTCTCAATCCAATCTCATTCTCAGCCTTTTTTGCAAATAAGAAGCTGTGCAAGAAATGGATCCTCTAATGTAAAACATTGGCAATGACAGTTCAAGAAACCTACAGCTGCAACACATTGAAAGGTGGATCCATAAAAGTATTAAAGGCATTCCATGTGTTTTTACATTTTTAATTGAAAAATAAAAGTATAATTTTGCTATCAATTACAGGAAAAAAGACTTCTTGGATCACGAAAAAAATAAATAACATAAATCTAAATTTCCCCAGACCTTATTTGGGTCCTTTGCTGCTTAGACTGCATTCCAACTTTCTTTTCTGGTGGAAAAAAAGGGTCGTGAGTTTTGTTTGCATATTTACAAAAGTGTCTGTATTCAGACTTGCTTATTGACTGTAACATGCATATTAATATGTACCTAAAAAATCTAGATCAGCTTATGTCTAAAATGAAAAGAAACACATTCCCCCATCATGACACTCATGTCAGGTGGTGCAAACATGCCTTTAAGCTGCATAAAAACAACAACAAACAAACACATCATTAACATCAAGAATATTGGTTAATGCCTACATTTATTATTTTATTTTTTTGCTGACTAAGTCATCAAACAGACTGGAATATCAGAACTTGCTCACATCTGGAATTCTTTGCAAGCAGGTCTACTTGGACTGCTGTTAACAATCAAGCTTCACTTTGAACATTGCAGCTAAACTGCATGGAGATGAAAATGAGCGCAGCTCTGACTAAAACAAGGACCCTCAGCATTTGAAGCCTTGGTAATGATGTGAACTGAATGCCCCAGTAAGATACAGCCATGAACCAACCCTGCATAAAAAAGTAGAACAACAGAAAAGCAGAGAAGAACAATATGGGCTTTATTTGCTATCTGTCTCTCTACAATGCTTCTTTGACAGAAATAAAGGACTGTGGGGCAATTATATGCCCATGTACTGGATGCTTCGGTGCATCTGACCTGGAATCTGTGCATATCAGGAGGATTGCAGTTAGTTAGTGCATGTAACAGTGTGTCACTCTGGGCAAGCAATGGGTGTTATATTTACCAAACATAAATGTCCTGCTGTGTTCTCTATTGCACTTTATGGATCCAAAAATGTATCTACAACAGGAAGCCATCTTTGAAGAAGTTTTCGCATCGGTGACTGGAACCTCAAATCTAATAAAGCAGGCTTTGGTAGCAGAATGGTGCACTAAATCTTCTAAAAAAAAAAGAATAAAAAAAAAAAACTTAACATACACAATACACATAGTATACATAATTATTTAATTTTAATTTTAATTAATTTAATTTTATTAACACTGCTGAACTCTAGCAACCTCAAATATACTCTATCACAACCTCTGCTCTACTACTGTAATGTAGTCTGCTTGTTTTCAATGTGACCTCAACATAACCCAGCTGGAATGGGAAGTTATTCAGATCTGAATGCAAGTTTCAGTCATAAAACAATATGCAATGCTTTGATCAATCTTGATCAATCATTAAATGCAGCTAAAGGCAATGACAGCCTCAGAAGGGAAAAAAAAGCTACTGTTAGAAAAGCGACAGTCTTGTTTGTCAGAAGATATAAGATAAAAGCATGGTAGTGGTTATATCATGCTGTGAGGTTGCCTTTCTTTAGCTGAGACAGGGATGCGGGTGGTAATGTGACAAATTAATATATATATATATACTTTTTAAGGCACACCAACTGTTTTCCTTCAATCAGAACTAGAAAAGTTTTCATTATATAACAAAAGTCTGAGGTAATATATTTATATAGCCACATTAACTGTTTGTCAAATTGTTACCTTGTTAAATACAAAGGATATTCATGCTGAAAGGATTTGGAGTCAAACATCCATTAAAATCAAAACTAGGGTTTCTTCCATAGAAACCCTGATTGCCAAACCTAGTTCACAAACTGACCAATGAGGGAGCTGGTTACGTCTGAGAAGCAACTGTGATTGGCTTGATTGGTTTTCAGTCTGCTCGGTTAGAGAAAAGGTAAATGGAGAGGGCCAAAAAAAAGGATTTGAAATGCATGGTGAAATAAAATGGAAATGGAATAATGAATTACCTTTTTAAATGGGTGATTAGATGAGGTATTTAAAATCAAATATATGAATTTAGAAATATGATTTGAAAATACATTTCTAAATTCCAGTATTTAGTAATTCATTCATACATTTTAAATTACAATTACTCTTTAAAATCTATTTCAAATGTGCAATTGAATTGCATGATTTAAATTCCTTTGAAATGGCTGTTTTTTCCTTTTCAGCCACACTCTAGGTCCTTCATATGTAAAGCACCATAAATGCACAGGGTAATGGGAATGCTTTACAGAAATGCTTTACAGAAGGCAAATAATATCCGTTAAAAACATAAGACATAAAAAATCTAAAACACTCAAACTGAAAACAATGTCACAAATTATGCTTCATAGTTTCCCTCTTCAAATAGACACAAACACTGAGGGTTGCTTAAGATGTGAATGCAACAGAGGGTGAAATGAAGTCTTGCAACAACTTTACATAGGTTTATTTTCTTGTGTGCCAGCTATTTATTCCCAATTATCACATATTTTCACAATGGAAATGGTACAGTATCCTATGTTATTCCTTATTTAGTGGCCAAGTGTGAGTTCTTCAACGCAGGAGGCAGCATTAAGGACAGAATCGCTCTGCGGATGGTGGAGGACGCTGAGAGAGAAGGGATCCTCAAACCAGGGGACACAATCATTGAGCCCACTTCTGGAAACACGGGTACTTACTTCTAGATAGCTCAGATATCTAACTGTGGTTCTGTTACTTACTTTATAATAAAACAACACCAGCGCTTATAAACCAGCTCTTCTGAACACCTCTAGGAATCGGCCTTGCTCTCCTAGCAGCTGTGAAAGGCTACCGCTGCATTATTGCTATGCCTGAGAAGATGAGTATGGAGAAGGTAAGTGTTTTCTGCATTAGTTTGTTCCACAGCAGTGGTTTAGTACATGCAGCTGATCTGCCCTTGTTTTTTTATACTATAGGTGGATGTGCTAAAGGCTCTCGGAGCAGAAATTGTGCGCACTCCTACATCTGCAGCGTTTGATTCAGCGGAGTCTCACATTCGCACAGCTTGGAGGTTAAGGAGTGAGATTCCAAACTCGCACATCCTGGACCAGTACCGTAACGCCAGTAACCCCCTGGCTCACTATGATACAACGGCTGAAGAAATCCTGGAGCAGTGTGATGGTTTGTTCAGTTTTTTTTTTAATTATCTTTCATTTTATTACTCTATGAACCAAAATGTCTGCTTCTTTCAAGTTCTCTAAACTTGCCCAGTCAGCGCAATAATCTTAAAAAACTTGAAGACCCAGGCCTGTAATCCTGCTTGTTTTATATTCAAGCATTTTCAGTTAAAACCTATTCAGTGTCTAACAAAAATTGTCATAACATGTGTCTCGATTGCCTTAACCTCCCACCCCATGAGTCCCTTACGAAAGGGCAATATAAGAAAGGCTGTTAAAGAATGACCATGATGGTGATGTCACCTTGTAAGGTCAAGTTATCAAGTTAGGACACCAGCAGTAAACAGTCTGGGTGGAAAGGAAACAAAAAACAAAACCCTGCACTGCTAAAAACCATCTAGAAATAAGTACAACATTTCTTAAGTATATTTACCCTTAATTTTAGTAGGTAAATAAGATTATTTGCTAAGGGAATGAGTATTTCAACTCCTAGAATAAGATGATTAGATAATATTCACTTGAAATAAGACAAAGCAATTGTTTTTTTTTTGTTTTTTTTAATTTAATTTGTCTTGTTCCATTGGCAAGGTGTCTCACTTATCTCCTCAGTTCCTCAAAATTAACTTAATTTAAGCAAAAATGACTCATATAGATTTCCATTTTTTTGCAGTCTGAGCATAATTTTAAACCAGGCAAACTCAAAGCAGGTGTAAGCAAAGGTTCTTCAAAGAACAAACAATTCGGCTGAGAATTAACCTTTCACTTTAAAATGACCTTATAACAGCAGAGGGTATTACAAGCAGGTGTGATACCTGCTGCAGAAGCCACGCCCACCAGGGATGACCCCCTCTGCATTTTAACACACAATTGTGTTTTGGTTTTGGATTGATGTCATTCTTAAAGCTCCACCGCAGTCTCAAATCTTTTACAGCCTCTTACAGGTTTTCTCTCATTCGTTCATCTCATCAGTTCTGTCCAGGTTCCTGTTCCCACATCATCCCCGCAGCATTATGCTGCAACCACCGTGTTTAATCATAAAGACAGTGTTTCAGTTTTTTTTTTGTTTTTTTTTTAATCAAGACCCAAAACTGAGCATCTTTTTCATATTTGCTATCCCAGCTAAAATTAAACATGGTGAATAGATTGCTTTCAACACTGGGTTTTTTAGATTGGTGGATTGTTTGAAGCAATAATAAAATCTAGCCTATCTCAGGACATTTTATGTTAATGTTTTAGTGTGTGTGATTAAAAAATGGAAAAAGTTCATTAGAAAAACCTCCAACTTTTTCACATAAAACTTGGAATACATCATATAACCCCCAAAAACGATGAAAAAAAAGAATAACAACTAAAGTTAAAAATATAATCTTTGGCCTACATGTTATGATTGAATTTATTTAACTTTCATATTTTCCAGTAAATGCAATGTCAAAGATAAGAAATTTACCTTATTTAAGTTTAAAAGTGTACAACTCTTTTTAATGGCTGTATGATGCTTTAAGCTTATGCTAACCAGTGAGATTTTAAACATACCATAAAACTTACACAAGATAAAATCCAGACACATTTAAATAAACCACAAAGCATGCAGTTTTATTTATCTAAAAAAGAGCACAAATGTTACACATATAAAGCATAAAAAAATGCCAAGAACAAATGTAACAAAAATCCTACATGTTGTTTCTTTAACTATATATTTCTGCCCTTAGTTTGAAATGATCATGGACATTTAGAGAGAACTGTCCTTTTCCTTTCAGGTAAACTGGACATGCTTGTGGCCGGAGCCGGCACAGGTGGTACGCTCACTGGTATCGCTCGAAAACTAAAGGAGAAGTGCCCCAATGTCAAGGCAAGATATTCAAACCCAAAAAACCCACTCATGAAAGTGTTCACCCAGGAAAATGCTTTAATTTTATTCACCATAACAGCTAATAAAAGATGATTTATCATCAACCTACACTGCTTAGGTGAAAAAATAATCATGCATGTAATTTACATCCATTTAAAGATGGACACGTTTAAAATAGCTTCCTTCCATGTTAATATAACTGTTTGTTTTTTTATTGTTGGCAGATAATCGGTGTGGATCCTGAGGGCTCTTCGCTGGTACAGACAGAAGAACATGAAAGTGCTCATTTTGAGGTTGAGGGTATTGGATATGACTTTATACCCACTGTTCTGGATAGATCTGTGAGTGTTAGAGTGAACGCGGACATTTAAAGTTAAGGGTTTCTTAGTTTGCTATAACTTTACTCTTTCTCTCTATAAAACCCTTCAGCTCGTATACAAGTGGTACAAATCAAGTGATAAGGAAACGTTTAACATGGCACGCAAACTAATAAGAGAGGAAGGCCTTCTCTGTGGTGAGCTCATACCACCAACCAACATATTCATATTTATGTGTTTTTTAAATGCCATCTAAGTTGATTTCGAATAATTATCTTGTCGCTCTTTTGTTTTTAATCCAGGTGGAAGTTCTGGCTCAGCGATGGCGGCGGCAGTGAAGATGGCTCAGCAGCTGGAGGAGGGACAGCGCTGCGTGGTCATCCTGCCAGACTCTGTTCGTAACTACATGTAAGAGAAAACAAGCAGAGATTCTGCAATAAGGCTGTTAGAGTCTGTTATTCACTCCTGCATCTACACTTTTAGACCAGAGATAATGTGCATAATAATCCAAATGAGGATCATAAAGGTTTTACCCCCCTTAGAGGGGCTTTCATGCCAAGAATATAATACCTATAGTTTGTACAGTGTGCAGTCGAACAAAAACAAAGGTAATGCATTTTTCTTCTTTTTAAAAAGGAAAGTAATAAGAACAGAAAATATTTTTGACCCAAAATGCCTTTAAAGTTTTTCTTCATTCTTACTATTATTGTACAGTAGTTTTCTAAATGACAGGGGCAGTTTAACATGCCACTGTTGGTTTCAACCTTTGCCACTAAATGTCACTAAAGTAGTTATTAAAAGCTTTAAGTCATAAAAGTTCAATATTTGGCTGTTTAGCAATATTCTGGGTAACTATTGAAATAATTCATCCCATTGTTTTGTATGATTTAGCAATATAACTTAAATCAAATCTAAGTTTATTTAGTAGTGATACTGTCGTCATTTTATTAAATTAAAAGCACGCATCCAAACATATAAATAGATTAGAAATCTAGACTGTGGTATAAACTAAAGTTAGTAATATTGGGGAAAAAATGATTTAACATGTCATGATGCTAATTAGTTTAATGCACAAAGTAACACTAAGGTTGATTTTATTGGGTTGATCAAAGTTAATGTTTGTGGACATTCTAAAGTTCTATAAAGCATGAAAATTACCAGCATGATAGAAACTATTACAGGAAACCAGGTTTATGACTGTGGTAAGAACCAGCACAGCAACATTTTGGTTCACCCTTATTCTGCTGCATTCCTGGGATTTTGAGGCTGGGAGAAGTTTGAAATTTAGAGGATCATGGTTCTGAATATGGATAATTCTAATGTCTGTTAACCAATAAACTTTTAGTATATAAGCCCCATGATGAAAATCTAAAAGCCGGATTTTATTTCCAGGTCTAAGTTCTTGTGCGATCAGTGGATGTGTGAGAAAGGTTTCCTGGAGAATCCAAGTGAGGTCAAACCCTGGTAAGACAGTAAAGAAATAAACAGCTTCTCCACCTTTAGGATAGGATGTGAAATAGGAGATTAACTTTTATCTGTTGAAGGTGGTGGGACCTGACCATCCACAGCTTACACCTGTCCAACCCTCTGATCATTGCACCATTCCTTTCCTGCCAAGAAGTCATCAAGATGCTGAGAGAGAAGGGCTTCGATCAGGCGCCGGTCCTCGATCATTCTGGGTATGTGCCGTTACTTTGCAAAAGATACACAGAGAGACGTTTGTGGAAATGCATTTTCCATCATGCTTTATCCCAGCCGGGGTTGTGATCCCGGCGATCGACTGGTTGTCAGTCAATCGCCATGTAGAAATACCAATTTTATTAGGAGACTGTGGTTGTGGACTTCAGGAGGAACTCAGCCCCAGCTCTCCCCATCACCCTCTATTACTTCCCAGTGTCAAATGTGGAGTCTTTTCTGTTCCTGGGAACAATTATCTCACAGGACATAAAATGGGAGCTGAACATCAGCTGACTGCAGTGTGTCATACAGTCTGCAAAGAGGGTGATCGGCTGCAGTCTTCCTTTCTCAAGGATCTATTCGCCTCATGCGTGCAGGGAAGATTGTGGCTGATTCCACACTCCGCAGCCACAAACTATTTCAGTCACTTTCCTTTGGCAGGAGGCTACGGTCAATCAGGACCAAAACCTCACACCACAAAAACAGTTTCTTCCCATCCGCTACTTATCAACAAGGCCCAGAGACCCCTGAGACACTGACACTACCTCCCCTGTTCATGACCTAGTAGCTACACCAACGTAGCATCTCCAGACCTCCTGCATTACATTAATGCACAGGCTACTGTGTATATAGCTATATATTGCATATAGTATTCGTATGCTTTATATTGTATATAGCTATAGATTCTGTATTCTGTATGTATATATAATTGTATATCTGATTTGTCTGCACCAAGTCAAATTTCTTTTAAGTGCAAACCTACTTGGCAATAAACCTGATTCTGACTCTGAATATCTGCCTGTGATTCTGCAGTGAACTCCTTGGGATGGTGACGCTGGGAACCATCATGTCCAGTGTGCAGGATGGAAAGGCCAAACTGTCAGATCCTGTCAGCACGATGCTCTGCAAGGACTTCAGACAGGTCTGCCTGATGGTGGAGACACTGAATCCACAACAACATAGAAGCCAAACATATTTATTGTCTCTTAACCTTTATGTTTGTTTTCAGGTGCACCTGACAGACAAACTGGGGAAGTTATCCTGCATTCTCAAAACACAAACCTATGCGCTGGTGGTGAACGATCACACCAAGTGTAAGAATATTTTTTTCTTTTTAAGATTAGCTATTTGCTTATTATTTACTTTTAAACCTTCTTCCCAAGATCAGAAGCTAAAACAAAAAAACAATACAATAAAATAGAAAGATGGTTAGAGGTTCTGTATATTGAGATTTCACTCCTCAAAATGCAAGGGGTTTTGTTTCTTCTGAGTAATGCACTTCTTTATTCTTCCAGGATTGTAATTCTCACTTTGCGTTTTTGCATTGTTGTTGGTAACTTTGCTCTTTATGCCATTATTTACTAGAATATAGCCTTAGAAATAAAAAGGCATGTTTGAAAACTGAAATTAACCGCTGTCGACCCTAACCCTTATTTTTGTCACAGATTCTATAAAGGACTTTTTTTT